ATACATTATTTGGACACTTATTTGCTTTTACATATTTAAATTTATCAATAATTGTCGATCCTTTAGTTAGTGACGCTATCTTAAAAAAGTAATGGGAACTATTTTTACTACAAACTTGGGCGTTTAACCAGCGATGGCGCCACTAAATTCAGTGTTATAATTTAGTGATTGGGTGCTATCAGTTTTTCTTTAATACATTTATTTATTCTGTTTATGAGCTTTTACAAAATACTGAATATAAGAAAATAGTAAAAATGTATAAAGATAATAGAAGATCAAGTTCATGCTTTGAAAATGGCACCAAATTGGAGCTTACTAAAACGAATGATTAGTGTCGACTTTTGTTCATTGCGACATTGAAAACATATTTGCAAGCTCGTGTGAAACGAAAACTGTGCGCAAAGTTAACAGACAATGTTTGTACATTGTAGGCTGTTGGACGTTTTGCAAACTTACATATAATTCAAGTAATTCAGGTTTCCTTGTAACGTTCGCGTTTCCATAGGGATGCCCCTTAAATATCGTTAGTTATCATTACTTGCAAACATGTACTCCATGCAATTCCGAAAAAGGTAAAATCATCGAACGTATCGTGGCGAATGGAATATAAACGGCGGCGTGCGCAAAGAGTAGGTCGTTGTTGCTAACGAATATCCAAAAAGCTACGAAATTATATTAAAAAGTGCGGCACCGTGAATGTAGAACTTCCGCCGGAACAGCATTGTCGCATATAATCACGTGATCGAGGATCGACTTCTTCGTTTGTGGCCACGAGGTTTTGTGGTGAAAATTAAGTTTACCGGGTGGAAAAGGCCCTATATTTTTGTATTTATACAAAAATGCCCTCCAGCAATCCCTTGCCACCCAAAGAAAATGCCTTGTTTAAGCGAATTCTGGTGAGTAACATGCAATCAAAATACTCTGTTTTGGACCCCACTCTCCGGCTAATAGGAGTATTCATCATGTTCTAATGATGAAGCACTCTTCGAAAAACTGCAAAAATTTCACTGGCAACCATGAATCGCGATTGTTTCGCGAATATTGCGAACGAAACCGCGATTTCGTGAACGTTGCACGCAACGTTCGACCACTCCAGTTTATCTGACTATACATTACCTAGATACCGAAATATATAGGTGTATCAGCTTGAAATTTTTTGCACTTATCGTGAAATAAAAACACTGCACCGTATTCATGAAAAAGCTTTATCCAGTGAAACGTATCTATGTTTTTTACAGAAGTGTTATGAACACAAACAGTATAAAAATGGGATAAAGTTTGCAAAGCAAATTTTATCCAACCCTAAATTTAGCGAACATGGAGAGACCTTGGCAATGAAAGGTCTAACTCTGAACTGCTTAGGTCGCAAAGAAGAAGCATACGATCATGTTCGACGTGGTCTCAGGAATGATTTGCAGTCTCATGTTTGTTGGCATGTTTACGGACTTCTACAGCGCTCGGATAAGAAATATGATGAGGCCATTAAGTGTTATAGAAATGCTCTTAAATGGGACAAGGATAATATACAAATTCTTAGGGATTTATCATTGCTTCAAATTCAAATGAGAGATCTGGAGGGTTATAAGGTAAGTGTTTGAGTAATAGTGTTTTGTCTGTATTTGTTGTATAGTATAATAGAGCAGCCTTTATCAGAATGAGCAATTAATGAAGTATAACAGTGATGTAATAATGATCATATGTAATTTGTTATTATTAATGATATTCAAATAAACTTGTGACCATTAGTTGCATAGTGTATTATATTCAAATAATTAATCAAAAATATAATTATTTTGTTTTAGGACACAAGATATCAATTATTTATGTTACGTCCCACACAGCGTGCATCATGGATTGGTTTCGCCATCTCATATCATTTATTAAAGGACTACGAAATGGCCCTCAAAATTTTAGACACTTTTAGAAATTCTCCTATGGTATGTTTCTCAATTTTATATATTTCTTTTAAATGTGAAACTTTACTTAATTTAAAAAAAATATGCAAATAACTCAGTACCTTGTTTCGTTACTTGTAAGGATATTAACATTATAAATTACAGCTAAATATTATTTATGATAGTATATAATAGGAATATTCATAAAATGTGCAGATTTGTTATGATTGCGAACATAGTGAGTTGCTGTTATACCAGAACATGGTTATCCAAGAATCAGGGGAGTGTGAACAAGCTCTGAAGCACCTTGACAAATACAGTGATCAAATTTGTGATAAAGTTACTGTAAAAGAAACATACGGTGAATTTTTTTGATTTATCTAATTAGTTTTAATGAAGTAGATACTATATATAATCTCCAATCTCTTACTGTAGGTAAATTAAGACTTCAATTAAAACAATACCCAGCAGCGGTACAGGTTTATAAGGATCTTTTAAATATAAATCCTGAAAATACAATGTATTATGTTAGGCTAGCAAAGGCTGAAAGACACGATAAACCTGAAGAAACGTTAGCTATGCTCCAAAGATACGAAGAACTGTTTCCTCGAGCGCTAGCGCCGCGTCGTTTACAATTAAATTACGCTTCAGGACCTGAATTTAAAGCATTAGTTGATCGATATTTACGAAAAGGTAATATATATGTACATTATTTTTATAAAGAGTGCTAAAGTACTCGCTGTTGTTAATTAACAATTTATTCGCGTTGCAGGCCTTCATAAAGGTGTGCCACCTCTGTTCGTAAATCTTCGTTCTCTGTATACCGATCAGAACAAAGCTTTCGTTATACTGTCTTTGGTTTTGCAATACAAGGAGGCATTGAAAGCTCATGGGCATTTTAGCGACGAAGAGAAAGATAATCCACGAGAACCGGCTTCCGCGTTACTGTGGACTTATTACTATTTAGCACAACATTATGATCATCTTGGACTTACGGAAAAAGCACTGCACGAAATCGATGCTGCCATAGAACATACTCCTACGCTTATAGAACTTTTTGTTACCAAAGGTCGCATTTATAAGGTTAGATCTGTTCGATGTTATTTACGATAGTTTGTGTCAACTATAGAAATCATTTTTGGATGCCTATATTTTTACGTGTACATTTATTCTTACCAGCATGCTGGTAATGTTCAAGAAGCTTATAAGTGGTTGGACGAAGCACAAGGCTTAGATACTGCGGATCGATATATTAATTCTAAATGTGCCAAGTACATGTTACGCGCAAATCTTATCAAGGAAGCAGAAGAGACGTGTGAAAAGTTTACAAGAGAAGGCGTTTTAGCTATGGAGAATCTAAACGAAATGCAGTGTATGTGGATTCAAACGGAAGCAGCCAATGCTTACAAGCGCCTCGGGAAATACGGAGAAGCGTTAAAAAAATGTCACGAGGTTGATAGGGTGAGTTGCGTAACGTATAATTGCTAAGATTACTAACGCACTGTAACGCGCTCATAAACGCGTTCTATCGGTTACAGCATTTTTCTGAAATCATAGAAGATCAATTCGACTTTCATACCTACTGTATGAGAAAGATGACTTTGCGATCTTACGTGGGTCTTTTAAGGTTAGAGGACGTGCTTCGGGCTCACCCATTTTATTTCAAAGCAGCGAAATGTGCAATAGAAGTATATTTGCGACTGCACGACGATCCCTTACCCGATCCAACACAGACGCAAGAAATCGACACCGGTAAGTCTGCATTCCGTGCATGTTGTTTTTCTTTTTTTTTTATCGATCGACTACACTACGATGCGTATATTTGTTTATATTCCATACGTGCACAAGGTATAACAGGTAGTTGAAACGATGGAGTTTACTGTTTATTTATTTATTTTATTTTCAAATTTAAATAACTGAACTTTCAAGGATAAATTGGCATTACATTGGAGGTCATGCATCTTTTAAAAAGATTCAGTTTCTTTTACAAAACTAGTTTAATCGTATAATAACAATAACGTCTTACATATTTAATAGAGCATTGAAAATGGTCTACGTATATATTTACACTATTTTACGTGAACGATTTTATAACAAACGGTAGTACAGTTTCGCAATTGATCGATACAATTTACATAGCAGTAGTAGAGATTTAACACAAAATAATAATCACTATCAAATGTCACTACTAACGATATTACATTCGAGTTTCGATGTTTTTCCTAATACTAAGTCTCTCAACCGGATATGTTTACAGCGTTAACTCTTCCGATGTCATTGACCCCTATGGGCGTTCGACTTTGTTTTTTAATAATCTCCATTGACCAGAAGGAGTCAGTAATGAAAAGATAATTAGTTACTGCGCAACTCGATTCTGCAGGCACATTCTCTTTGTCTCTCAAATAAGGAGGCAAGATGGCCTGGCGTGAAAGTGGGTATCGCGTCTGGCACGACGTCTGATGAGAGTTGACCTTGAGCGGCCAATGAATTACATTTTAATTATATAACGCTACTCTATTCTTACTGTTCGAATGGGTATCTTTAATCGTCACTCGGAGAATTATCGGCCATTTCGAAGGTTGTACCGATAGCATAGAGCGGTGGGAGATGCTTCGGTGACCTTCAGTGGTCAGTTAATTTCGTTTCGACCACGCGACTGTATTCCTCCGTATTTCGAAAGTTTAACGCTAGTTCTGGAAGAATTTCATGCTTGAAATCTCCATTTAACGCTTATCGAACGACGCGTTATATTTCGCACCGACGATCTACAAAAAATGACCGCCAGTGCAACCTACGAACGACTTATCGCTATCGTTAATCATTAACTATGTACATGTACGCGTTCACCTCGACCATTAATCACAGACAATGCGCAAGTACGCGACGGAGTATCGCTCATAACCGCGTAACACACCTATCGTCGCACGCGAACGAGTATCTCGCGTCTGCATCGGTAATCTGAAGCTCGTGGGGGGTAGGGGGGGGGGTAGTTAGGATCGCATATAAATTAAGCATTCATAACGCAAGCAAGGCGTTGACAATCATCTACTCTAGTCGATGCATATCAGAGTTGGAAGTTATTCGAATAAATCTTTATCGAGATAATTATCCAGGTAAAACATTTTTATTCGAGTCAATCTTTATCTAGACAAAACATTTTTATTCGAGCGATTGTTGAACTAGATAATTGTATAGATAAAGCAGTTTATTCGAACAGCTTTATTCACTTGAAGGACTTCCGAAACGTTATTCGTCACCTGGTTAAAAACGTTTCCAACCCTGTTGAGTATAATATTTACACGTATAAATAATATCCTAACGATACGTCTCTCTCGACGAACGTCTTCTTCGTAAATCCTAAATGGTTATATGGCGTGGGAGGATCAAACGTTGCCAGGTCGCCGTCGACGTCTCAGCAGTCTCGTGCCCCTCGATTTCGAGTAAAGGTGCCCCGTGTTCCGCTCAGGCCTCTGGGCGACGGCCTGGGGCGTCAAGAAGTAAAAATGACCTCCATCGCCTGGCAATCTGTATGCGAAGTAGGCCTTTGGCTTCCCTGGCTGATTGTTTTCTGGCACGGGAAGAGGATCGATGAATTCCGCGTCTGGATCGATGGTGGGTCGTGGATCACGATAGTTGACTTTTATATCATCCTCCAGAGAAATTGGCAATTGTGGGTAGGATTCGTCGAGCTCCTCTGGAGAGTCTGCTATAGGCACATAATTCGTCGACGGTCCATGCGCTGGGTTCACCAGGGGTTGAGGCGCGTAGGCTCGAAGAGGCGCCAGGGGCTCCCTGTCTCGTTCTGGTACCCTGTAATTAGGTGGTTGTTGTCGATTAGGGTCGACCACCGTGATGAACTCGCTGTCCGGATCGATAGGAGGCAGAGGCTGTCTGTAGTTTACGAGAATGTCATCTTTAAGGGAATACGGTTTCTGCGACTGGTCGCCATAGTGCACTTTCACGTTAGGTGTCTTGAAGACGGGTGCCTCTGCGTTGTTGTAGTCGTTCTCGACGTACCTGTTCGTCTCGTATTCTGGCCTCTCCGTGGTCGACTTCACGTAAATCGGAGTGGTGCTGGGCATACCTTTGTGCGGCAGTTTCTTGCCGAAGATCGTGAAGTATTCCTTCGTGACGTCGTCCAGGAGCTTCTCGTCCTGGTGGGTGTAATAAGTGAGATGGGGATTGGGAGTGGTGTTTATCATCGAGTTGGCAGTCGTCGAGGGGTAAACTGGCTGCTGGATTTTGTAGGGTAGGCTCTCTGGTCTCAATCTCTTTTGGGTGGACTCGGTCTGCTCGTAATCGAATCGATGCTCGTTGTAACCAGGGGCCTTCACTTCTGGATAATCGTTGTAAGGAAGGTTTTGCGGTTGCTGTGCATAGTTGGTTCTCTGATTGCCGCGTTTCGAGTAGTCAGCCGCTTGGAAGCTATATTGGTAGATAGGTTTCGGTTTGTCAGGCCTGTAGTAGGTCTGCGGCCTAGGCGTGGTGTAATAAGGCTGGACTGGGCGGGCAGATATGGTTTGATAGTAAAGAGGCGCGCGATCTGGGAGCATTCGTTGACCCTGAGTCCTGGTCGAGCCGCTCTCGTACCTCGACGAGGATCGCGTGACCGTTGAGTCGCTGTAGCGGACTGGTTCGGAGTTTTTCACCACCGAGTCGACGTACTTCAAACTGTAGTCCTTCGAGGTTTCCTGCGACGGAACGGTCTCGACGCTGTAGTACTGTTTTTTCTTCTCCACGGGACGCGGCTGGGTCACGGTCTCGTAGAAAGGCGACTCCGTCGTGGTTTTGTAATAAATCGGATCGGTGGTGACGGTGGGTTCGCCGTTCGATTCCTCGTAAAAGTAGTAGGAGGCTTGGCTGGGCGATCGTTCTGGGTTACCAGTGGTGACGATGCTTCTTATGGAGGCTGGCGTTACTTCCACGGGCTTCTCCAAGGTGGACTGCGTGGATGTGGTATAGTAACTCATTATAGGAATCGTCTTACTGGTTACCAGGCCTGACCAGGCTTCGTTCTTCTCGGGAACGTTCTCCTGGTTGGTCACGCGGTTCTCCGTGATGGGACCTAGGCTGTAGAACTCGGGATTGTCCAGAGTCGTTGGCTTCTCAGGTGCGAGCGTTGTGGTTTGCGTGTACGGAACAGTTCTCAGAGTGCTGGCTGTGGAATTACGAGTCGCGTTCTTGAGTGTCGTTCGACGTTTTAGGTTGTTTGATGCATCGTCGATCGTTCTTGGCTTGGTGACCGGCACGATGGTGGTACTCTTGTATCTTTTAGTGGTGAGTTTCCTTGGTGGCAGATACGTCGGTCTGGATCTTGGTAACGGGGTGGTTCCAGGGCGTTTGGTGTACTTCTTGGTGGTCTTCTTGTCTTCTAGAGGGGAAAAGAAGTCTGGCGGGGGTGGTAGGATGATTCCAGGGACCAGAGGACCAGGTGGTACCGCGGTTGTGTTGTCCTGCTGATACTGGAAGCTGTACGGCGGCGGATAGTAAATAGATTGATCTTCCTCATCGTAATCCGTTTGATTACTGGGCGGCGGTAGAAACACGGCTCCTGGTGGTATGGCGTGATAAAATGGCGGAAGATTGCCCGGCGGAACATCAGAGTTCACTCCATTGTCTCTGGAAGTGATGTTTTCCGTGTCCTCGTTGGACATTACGATGGTTCCATTCGATATAATGGCAAAGAGTGGGCCGTCCTCTGATAACAGTCCCTTCGCGAACAGTGGGTCCTTCTTGAAGTCCACGGTCCCATTTCCGATCTCCTTGGTCCCGTTCGGCCCGATGATCTGTATGGGTCCACCCTCCGTGAGTTGAACCGGAAAGGGCGGCGGTACTTTGGGCTTAGAGGGTATCTTAACCTGTCTTCTGGGCGCTTTGTAGTCGTCGATTGGTGGCCAGGTCGTCTCGCCGTCCCCGCTGCCCTGCGTGGTTTCATGACCAGGAAATTTCCCGCCTCTGAGGACGAGTACGTGGTTCTCTGCCAGCCAGATCTCGTCCTCATCGAGACCACCCAAATTATCGAGGGTGTCCTTGGGCACCTCGGGATTGCTCGTGTAACTGATTATACCTGGCCGTTTCGGTCGATTTCTGTAGATCTCGTTCTGTATAAGCCCGTACTTTCCCTCTTTCACTTGCTGCGAGAGGGTCTTCTTCTCGTCGTCCTCGTCCTTGCGACTAGGCTTGGATTCGCGACCGTTTCCGGCCGACGAGAGAAGAATCCCGTCGTCCCAGAGCGCTTCGTATGGTTCTCGGTTAGTAGTGGTTCTCAAGTGTCCTCCAATTAGTCGGTGCGACACTTTCCTTCCGGGTTCTGTAGTTATCTCGTTGCTCCTGCTGGTCGATGACTTGAAACTCCGACTCGACGGTGTGTGGGCACTACTTGGTCGATGACTAGATTCCTCGCTGCCGAGGTGCCGCCTTTCCCTATTCAGAGACGACGATGTAACGAGCGACGCGCAGGTCGCTAATAGCGCTGCACTCAGCAAGAGCTTTGAGGGATTGAGTCCTTTCCGCATCATCTGAAACAAGTACCAAAAATATTTTTTAGTTTTTTCAGATATATTTCGAGTAGAATTAGTTGCTCGACTTGACTCGTCGAGTGCCGTGATTCCCACTCGCGAATGTTGACGGGAATTCCTGTGAATTTGCAGAAATTCGCCCGATTCCATTGACTCAAATTGCAATAATACGGGAATGCGGGACCGTAGGGGGCCACGCCTTTCCCTCGTGAACAGTCGGTGAACGGTCGACAAACATTCACGGGTCACTGGAGTACCACCGACTCGTAGTAATGACTTGCAACCTAGCAACAAACTGAGCTGTGGCGTTTCTGTATTCGCTCGGTGCACGATGCATTAGCTTCCATCGAGAATTGGATTGCTATGTCCGTCTCGCGGAAGTAACTGGCTCGAGTAACGAGGCACCGTGTTTCCGACGTGTATCCGATTTATAGTTAGCGGCGCCTAACTTCAACGAAATATCTCGATTCGAGGGAAACTCGGTTTTGAAACTCTTCGTCAGTTATCAATCGTGAGTCTGGAGAACGTTTTCGTCAATATTATGGTACTTTCTAATTTATAAATTTATTTTTGTCTCATTCGTATATTTAAATGTGCATGGTTCTGCTTTCATGTTAATATATAATAATAAATATTGTGTTTTTATTCTTGTTCGAGTAATTATCAGATGATATGTTGTGGAATCAAGTATGCTAATAGGATATTAGTGCGACGACAGAGAAACGTGCTCTTCGTCGAGTCGATTACGTTTCGACCATGTGGAGCGTCGTCCTCTTCGGAGCGATAAATAATAAAACACGCGCAAGCGTGTACATAACTTATGCGAGTACGTGAGGTCGGACGAATTTGCATTTTATGGAGAGAAAAATGCAAACAAATGTAAACCAATATAGTTCTTATTTAACTAAATAAAACAAATAACATTACATTAACGTTAACTTTTCTCATAATTGAAAAATGCATTATTTTTTTTCTTAAATTTCCTCTACATAAAATGCAAAGGCTCGTGGTATTCAACTTGTGATTCTACCAATGTCACGTATTCGTACAACACGGTATGTACGCTTCTACACGATCGCGCGTGTTGTATTGCGCCACGTGGTCGAAACGTTAACGGCCTTCTAACTGCACGTTTCTTCTGTGTTGTAATGTCCATTAAGCATATACGGTTTTACATGCTATTATTTACTTCCTGCTATGAAGAGGCAATGCAAATCTACCACGCTTCGTCTTGTTTTCATACGTTTTTTCATATCAATTCTGTTCTTACACTTCGATATTATCATTACTATTTTTTTTTTAATCGTGTAAAATGATCGAACCAAAAGAGAATAGAGCTAAAACATAAATGGTAAAAATGTTTAACGAGTAAACTCTGTATCAATTTTGTATGATTCACCTCTGAAACTTGCTCCAACCGACAACGAAACGTCGAGCTCAGCTAGTGTCGGTTTCCCCTGGAGTCACTCCGTCGGAAACGTCTTTTTAAGCTACCAAACACATTGATAACACGCTGCACGGAATAAAAGAGTACCTTTCTCCCCGTTTCCGTAGCGGTCGGCGATTCCGTCGGACGATTATCGTTCGCCAGGGTTTCTCGTGCGTCGTTGAATAGCTGTAATTGACCGACCTTACTCTTCCGAGACTCGAGGATACTCAACTTTTCGCGTTCGCGCACGTCCACTCGTTGCGGAGCACTTCGACGACGTGCTCGTTTCGAATGTGACCGATTTCACTCCGCCAGCGGGCTTTTAATCCGCGAAAAGCAACGTGACGGAATCGTGAAATTCCTTCGCGCAGATATCGACTCGTGGGGAGACAATATTAATCGCTCTTACGCCTGTCCGAATCATCCTCCGCGCTTGGATTATTGATAACGGCTTAATCAAGCCTGGAGCACGAGTCGACTTGGTCAATTCCGATCGAGGAAGTCTCTTCCACGTGTTTCCACTTTCTCTCGCGGTTCTAGCAGTGACTTTGAGCGGTTATTCGCGGATCGCGTGACGGATCGATTCGAAACGCATTAGCGATACGTCACGTGTGGACCACTAGATCACCATTGGCGGTATCCCATTTCCGTGACGGGAAAACGTACCCTAAGAACGATTGGAGACTTAGAGGGCCAAATATGTGTAGTTGTAAAGGCTAATCTGCAGGTCTTCTTTAAGCAACCATTTAAAGACGCTTTTATTTGTCCAACGTGAAAAATGATTAAATTCTGTAATTTGAATTCTTATCAACATCCAGCCAGTGGGGGATGAGAAGCAGTCGACTTTAGCCTGTATTGCATTTATCAGTTGTATGCGTGTCACTCGTTATCCGAAATGTTTATTTAGGCGTAAATTTTGCCCATCTTTGTCTGTCAAGTCAGCTCAATAAGAAGAACCCAAGTTCAATAGCCCTAATAAAACGAATAGAGTGTATCCTGGTACACCATGGTTACTACCATGTTCAAAACCACTTAACCATCACAAACACAGATAATTTCACTTGGGAAAGCCTCTATAAAAGTAAGTAACACGCGGTCGAAGGTTTCAAGTAGAACAGTTTAACTTTGAAAGTTAATTTTGTTAATTTTGCCACTTTTTCTTGTGACTTCAAAGCACCACCGTGGATTTTTTAAAGAGATCCCGTTTTACCGTGGCGTCCCATTTCGCAGACGCTCTTGCCACGACGGGTGTTCGTTAGAGAACTAGTGGAACGTGTCATAGCAGGGCGGACGGCCGCTCGCACCGGCATGGTACACGTGACTGGCCGGTTTTCATCACCTTTCTCGGTGCAACGGGGCCCCTCAAGGACGCTCGTTCGGAAAGGTGGAGCCATTTCCAAGCGACACGCTCTCGGTCCCGCGCTGGAAAGGAGGAAGTCGAAGTCGTCGGCTGGCTAAGATTTGTTACGATTAAAACGATCCGACTGCGCCTTTCTTTCGTTGCCTTTGTCGATCGATTGACGAGGAATGCGAGTTAGGGTTGGGACTGCGTGCAAGTCCTTACCCTGAGAAGATGCTATTCGTTAATCCTTGAAAATAACTTTTTCGGATGTTGCAGAGAGTAGGAAGATTTGCACCGAGACATTTGAGTTAACCGAAGCCTTCGAGTATGAGAATTTGCCAAAGTTTGAAAATTTAAAGCAGTAAAACCGTTTCACCTTGGTTATCCTACATTTAGTAGGTTATCCTACTTTTAATCTCTGAGGGTCATTGAACTATTTTCCTAACGCTACTCCAATCGAGTTGCTAGACTACTCAAATATTCCCAGTTTAGCTGAAGTATCTAATTTTCAAATGGTAAACTATTCCTGTGCTCTCAGCCCTAATGCGAAGTCGTGCAACGTGGAACTCACGCGACGAAAAACGATGTCGAAACGTGAGCTTTCACTTTCGCGTCGCCTTATTGTCGTACTTTTTACTCGATATGGAATTTGAATGAAGCCCACGCACAGTGAGTCTGAATTCTTTCGTAGCGTGACATAGATAATTGACTGAATTCGGTAATAAGTTTCCTTAGTAAAATATTCTTTAATTAGCTCCTCTTGTGTATCTGCACGACATGCCATTGTTTTCGTATTACTTTTTTAAACCATCACAGTGACGAATTAAAGAGGTTGCAACATGTGAGTGACAGGCTTAAAAGTAAGCCAATCTTTGGGAATTTTTTTCGAGGACCGGTGTGCCATTTTTCAAACATTTAACTGTTACCCAAAAGCACCTAATCAAATTCGACAGGATACATACTTTAGTCTGTAAATCCTTTCACGTATTCTTTGCTCGACGGATGCAAATATTTTGTTTTCCATTAGCAACACGTGCTGCGATTGTCTGATATACTCAGACTGATTACACGTTGTGTTAGGGGTGTAAGACAACATGTTTTACTGTATCAAAGACAGCATTCCGCATCGATTTAATCGTATTAATCTTAAAGCATGCTCGCCGATGATTTCAACGACCCTGTTGGTCGTTTTTGTAATTCAGCGCGGGAATTTAAACGACCGCGATTTCCTGGTTTATGCTTACGATTAACGCAATTTATGATTAACTTCGTATCGATGTATTACATGTAAGTGTACATCATTATGTTCATTTTATACTCCGTATTTTTCTCAAGTTAATAACTCCTTTCGTAAATCATTTCGAGTGCTTCAATTCGTTTCATTGATAAATGAATGACTTCCTCGACATGTTTGCATGAATTATTAATTTTTTATAATTTACACCTCCATTAACCTCTATACATACTATCATATTCAAGTGTTATTAATCCTAGCGTTCATTACGAAATAAGTTTCCGCTGTAATTTAGCGCAGTGAGATTTGCATAAAAATGTTCGAGTTGCGTTTAAAATGCAGGAGGATAGTTTATTCTAGGTAGTGCAAATGGGAAATAGATGATTCTTCGTGATAATATCAATTGAAAGCGAAGAATGAAGCGTCGGACAGATTAAGTGAAATGTTGCAAAATAGTCAGACGTTCGATTTTGCGCGTTCCGCGAGACGTAACGTCGATTTTGAGTGATGTAAGAAGAACAGTCCCCGCTTTGTGCCAGGTGCCATTATGGTACTGTTACGATCAGACCTGTCGTAATATCGTTTCTCGAAGTAAGATTTTCTGGTCGTGCCGACGTAGTTTTAGATCGAACTCAATTTGTTCAAAGAAGTCGGGGAAAAAGTTAGTCGTGGTAAGGACAATCATTTTTTTTTTTTTTTTTTTTTTTTTTTATGTTCCGTATCGCCTGGTGTAGACAAAGTATATTACAGGCAAAAGTGCTGCACTTGTGTACCGAGTGTGCTAATGCGCAACTCTGTGCAAACACAGATGTCATTCGACGTTAAACACTGTCATGTATCACCATTTGTTACTTTTGTTAGACACAATTCATGGCACACGATATTTGTCTAAAGCGTCGATTTAAATTTCGGAGAAAATTTCTCAGTCTAGTATGCTTCGATACTCGAGTTACGCTAATCTAACATAAGATAGTATTTGATAGTATTTGATGTTT